ATATATATATATATACACATTATATGCTTCTATATTATCTTTTGAAAGTTCCCCTAATATTTTGAGAGAGAAAGCTAAATCAGATTTAAGTTCTTCCACTAACTCAGTATGACCTACTGTCTCCTGCCAGGTGATACATGGACTGAGACTCTGGCCTATGTTTTGTTCTGGGGAACAGCCAGCGTGGTGACAGGTGGTCTTATCCTCTTTAATGGACGGGACTTCGTCGATGCTCCCAGGCTAGTCCAGAAGGAAAAGGTGGACTGAATGTATGTGTGTGGAAAGCAGCTAGGCCCTTGTGATCTCACCACCTCATCCTCTAGCTCTTCATCACTTTGCCCTCAACATCAATATCAGCAAGCCTGGAGTCTTTACTAACAGTGGCTGAAGTGGAGAAAGGCCGGCAGTATAGCAGTCTTGTGTATGACAGTGCTGAATGAAAAGACAGAGACTGTGAGTGCATGGGCCAGCTGCTGTCCACACTGCAGAAATTGTTTGTGAACATGACTGCCCACACCGCTTAGTGGACACTTAACCTCTAGAGTTTCTTCTTAATGGATGTCATTGTTGCTTATTTCAAAAAATATCCAGATTCACAACAGTAGCTGTGATGTCACAGCACAGTTGTAAATGAATTACTGTTATGTACTGTTTCTTTGCCTTTTGTTGTTTTCTTTTTGACATTGACAGTATATGATATCCATGTTACAGTTACAAATTAAATGCTACCTGTTTCAAATTCTGCATGGCCAGACCAGTAACGGGTCACTACGGCTGGCATGTTCCAAAGGGTCCATGAAATTTGGGTACCTTTTGCCATGATTTAAATTGCACAGCCAGTGGACAGTCTGATGTAAATGAGTTTGCTTTATGGGGTTGGGTTTTGATTTGGAGTGGAGAAGTCATCTAATTTGAGAGCATTTTTATTCATTTTTATGTCTGTAAAGTCAGATCTGTACTTGATGAGCCTCATGCAAGAATCACTCTTATGAACACGTTTGTTCTGTGAGAGATTTAACAGAAAACAGGAGAAAAAATATTTGTAGCACTTTCTAGCTTTCTCAAAATTCATAATTGTCTTAGTTATGAGCCAAATTTTTGGGTGGTCCAGATATGTCAAACCAGTCTGACACTCCATGATATACTTGAAATAAATAAGCTTTCATTTGAATGGATTTGGTGCTTACATATGATACAGAAATAAATTCCAATACAATATATAAATTAAACCGACTTGATGCAGAATTAGTGTTTCTTTCACCAGATGATCATCATCGTCATGGTTCCATGCACCCTGGAAAACCTGGAGAATTTTTGTTCACATTTGTGTATTTTCCTTTTGCTGAGTGAGCTGTCAAATCTTAGCATGAGGTGGCAACTGAAATTAGGGCAATGTGTGATGTGAGATAATTAATCAAGTTGTAAAGAAGATTTGAACAGGAAAAGTGAACTTGAGAGGGTTTGCCCTGATAACCCCTCAGACACTAAACAATATGTTGTCTGTGTATCTTCCCAATATATGGCAGGAAAGGTTTATGGCTGGCACCTTTAAGTCTGGGATGCCATTTGGTTGAACATATAACAACACACAAAGAGTACTAAAACAAAGATAAAACATGGCCTTTAGTTCACACAAGCAATGTCTCACAGGTCCCTGTGATCTGTGGTCTGTTCTGAAAGTTTAAAATCCATTGAATAACATATGTTGGTTAATAAAACAAAGTTTAAAACATAATAATGTAATTTTCATGACATATATATTTATTTTATCTTAATAGACTTTAGTAATTGTGGTCAATAAATGGATATGGTCATCTAGCTCCTAGCATGGGCTGAAATAATGGGAGGACAGATCAATAGTGATTTTCTTTTTTATTTTGGTTCCAGGTTCTTTCCAGCATGAAATGGTGAATCCAGTGTTGCCTCTCTTTGTTTGTTTACTTATTTGTTTGTTCACAAGGATAATTTTACTATTTTAGAGACTGTTTACAAAAACGTATTCCATGTTATGCAAGAAGATGACATTATCAATGAAAGTTTTTTTTTGGAAAACGTCCCCACCCCGGTCTTTTCACAAATCATAGGCTGGGAGCAGCTGACAGACGAACAACAACAAATAATTTTGACTGTAATTGTTACTGGCTAGGATGACATGCTCATTAACAAAATTCACAATGCAGCAAATGTATTGCTAGTGTATGCTGCTTCTCACCTTTTAATATTAAAAACAAAGTTCTTTCTAGGTTTGTCTACACAATTTGCATTTTTTAAAAGAGGGTGAGATTCAGGGGTGTCAAGAGACTTCACTAAAGAGAGGACATTTTTTGATGAATTTTACAGAGTTGTTTTTTTGTGTGTGCCATTTGAGTATGCTGGTTGTGAGCAGGCCAAGATTCAGTTTGAATTAAAAAGCAAAGTTAATAGCTCTAGACCATTGTCCTTGTGTATGCTCATTTAGTGTGTTTTGCAGTGTCTGGCTCTTCTCAAGTGTCTCTTACTTTTTGTTGTTAAAATCAAGTCAATTGAAGTAGTGTGTGTGTGTGTGTGTGTGAGAGAGAGAGAGAGAGAGAGGGAGGGAGGGAGAGAGAATGAAGAAACTAGGATAGGTCCCACGATGGCCACTGGTCCAGCACAGAGAACATGAATGAACAAGAGGACAGGAAGAAGCTTCTTGAACGCTTATGTGTTTAAGGGTGCAGAACGAGTTGTGATGTGTAAAAATAGATACCTACACTTACATGGCATAATAAATTGGTTTTAGGTTGGAAGCATTGGGTTATGTTACCTTGAGACAGAATGGTTTATGGAGTCATAGGGGACAAAATGGCCACTGGGGAAACATGTGGCCTTGTTCTTAGAGGATACACACTTGCCTCTTGGGGAATAACATGCTGTGTATGCTGTCAAACCATACACCCTGGGGTATTATCAACATTATCCAGCTAAATAGACATATTATCAAAGGTAAAAATGGAATAAATACTAAAACTATAAACCTATACTTATAGGAAATATGGCAATGTGTGTGTAAATATAGATTCTAGACCAGTATTCATCATGCTCTGTTATGAGACAGGAAACATGCAAAACACTCAGTGTCTGAAATAATAAAATAAATACATAAATAAAACAAGCCCTGAACATATAAATGGTAGGTAGATAGGTACTTTATTGATCCCTCAATGGGGAAATTTCAGTGTTTTAGCAGCAATGGAGAACAAACATAACACCATGAGAAACAAACACCACACACATATCTTGACAAACAAATTTCAGTACCTCAAGCAGCAATAGAGAACAGACAGCATAACACCATGAGAACAAGCACCACACAAAGCCGGATTTGGATACAAAAAGATTTCCCAAGCTTTAAACATCCCACGGAGCACTGTGCAAGCGATAATATTGAAATGGAAGGAGTATCAGACCACTGCAAATCTACCAAGACCTGGCCGTCCCTCTAAACTTTCAGCTCATACAAGGAGAAGACTGATCAGAGATGCAGCCAAGAGGCCCATGATCACTCTGGATGAACTGCAGAGATCTACAGCGGAGGTGGGAGACTCTGTCCATAGGACAACAATCAGTCGTATACTGCACAAATCTGCCTTTATGGAAGAGTGGCAAGAAGAAAGCCATTTCTTAAAGATAGCCATAAAAAGTGTCGTTTAAAGTTTGCCACAAGCCACCTGGGAGACACACCAAACATGGGGAAGAAGGTGCTCTGGTCAGATGAAACCAAAATCGAACTTTTTGGCAACAATGCAAAACATTATGTTTGGCGTAAAAGCAACACAGCTCATCACCCTGAACACACCATCCCCACTCTCAAACATGGTGGTGGCAGCATCATGGTTTGGGCCTGCTTTTCTTCAACAGGGACAGGGAAGATGGTTAAAATTGATGGGAAGATGGATGGAGCCAAATACAAGACCATTCTGGAAGGAAACCTGATGAAGTCTGCAAAAGACCTGAGACTGGGCCAATCGAGAATTTGTGGAAAGAACTGAAAACTGCTGTTCACAAACGCTCTCCATCCAATCTCACTGAGCTCGAGCTGTTTTGCAAGGAGGCATGGGCAAAAATTTCAGTCTCTCGATGTGCAAAACTGATAGAGACATACCCCAAGCGACTTACAGCTGTAATCGCAGCAAAAGGTGGCGCTACAAAGTATTAACTTAAGGGGGCTGAATAATTTTGCACGGCCAATTTTTCAGTTTTTTATTTGTTAAAAACGTTTGAAATATCCAATAAATTTCGTTCTACTTCATGATTGTGTCCCACTTGTTGTTGATTCTTCACAAAAAATTACAGTTTTATATCTTTATGTTTGAAGCCTGAAATGTGGCAAAAGGTCGCAAAGTTCAAGGGGGCCGAATACTTTCGCAAGGCACTGTAAAGGTGTCCACAATCTCAATGACTGAGCCCTGAAAGCTCACCGGCGTGAGTACTGGTGATTTCCGCTAGGGATCAATCACCATCTCATTAGTCTTGCTGGTGTTCAGGACCAGTCGATTTTCCTCACACCACTTCACAAAGTCAGTAACAACCCCCCTGTATTCCTCCTTTCCGTGGTCTTCATCAGGTGGGGGGTCAGGGCAACGGGTCTGTAATGGTTCCGCTCCTTGGGATGAGGTATTTTGGGAACCGGGACAACACAGGATGTCTTCCATAGGGCTGGGACTCTCTCCAGGCTAAGACTCAGGTTAAACATGTACAGGACCACCTCACTGAGCTGATGATTAAGTTTATTCATATAAACAATTTCCCTTAAAGGATGTGGTGTATGTTAATCATCTTTACAGACTATGAATCAATTTCTAGAAATAATGTGTGTAACAAAACATGTCTGAATATTTTACCTGTCTGAAAGCTGGCAAGTCCCAGCCACCATCTTCAGGTGCGAAGGCAAACTGACTACAAATCCCATGTGCCATTGCTCATAGAGACTATGTATTAGCACTCATACTGGTTACATGGTGAATAACATTCAGTATATACTGTCAAACTGATACAGTATAAATGAATCTATGCCCGCACACCCCCTGACACACACAAAAGATGTACAGCATTATGCTGGTATATGCCTTGTTGAATAAAGATTTGTCTGGCTGCAATACAGTTCTTCTTCATCTTACTAAGTTTTTGAGCGTGGTAAAGCCATGTATGGGTACATTACCACCACCTACCGACCTTTAATTTGTAATGAAACTCACCTGTAGCAATCAGCAGGGGTTTGCAATATAGAAATCACACTTGCAACCAGTTAAAATGGAGAAAAGTTGACTCAACCTTTGTGTTGTAGCAAAGAGCTATACAAGGTGGCGGATATGCAAGATGGCGCGCACCGAGGCAGACGTGTTTGCACATTCCGCTCGAATGCTGGCTATTTCTTCGTTTTCTTCTTTTTTGTGTGTTTTTTACTCTTTCTGCAGTGCACAAATGTCATGCACTGCTAACATACAGCCCGGTCACCTGCCTAAACAACTACAGGCCAGTGGCACTCACCCCAATCATTATGAAGTGCTTTGAGAGAGTGGTGCTGGCCCACATTCAGAGCAGTATACTGGACACCCTGCAGTATGCCTACCGGACCAACAGGGCCACCTCAGACACCATCGCAGCTGCCCTCCACTATTCCCTTTCTCACCTGGAAAATGGAAACTCCTACATCAGGATATTATTCATTGACGACAGCTCCACCTTCAACACAGTTGTCCCCCACAAACTGTTCACACTGGGTCTGAACCCCACCCTCTGTGACTGGCTCCTGGACTTTCTGACTGGCAGGCCCCAGACTGTCAGGATTGGCAATAGGACTTCAGCCAGCATTGTTATGAACATTGGCACCCCACAAGGATGTGTCCTTAGTCCCATCCTCTACACCCTGTTCAGCCACGACCGTGTCGGCTCCCCCAAAGACAACATGATCCTGAAGTTCGCGGACGACACCGCAGTGATAGGTCGCATCACTTGCGGGGACGAAACAGCCTACAGGAGGGAGGTGGCCGGTCTGGTGTCATGGTGCAAGGACAATAATCTCAGCCTCAACACGGACAAGACGAAGGAGATGATAGTGGACATGAGGAAGGAGAGATCTCATTGGCCACTGTTCATCTGGGGGCTCGAAGTGGAGAGGGTGAGTAGCTTCAAATACCTGGGCGTCTACATCAATGAGGACCTCACTTGGACACTTGACACCACACAGCTGGTCAAGAAGGCCCAACGGCAGCCGTACTTCCCGCGGCGGCTG